CAGTGAGCGAGCGGCTGCATGGTGCTTAGTTGCTGGCTGGGGTTGAATCACGACACTTAGTAAACTGACTTCCTTTCTTCATGTTTGCTTTTACTTTCATTGGCTTTAATAATACGAGAGTTGTAGACAACCAAGTGAGGATAGATTTTAGGTGTTGCTAATAATTTTCTGAAAAATGTTTCACTTGTGCATTTCATGAGGCTTCTTTTGGTAGAACCTTCAATGTCCAAACTGGAAGTAAGATTGACCAGCTGTGGTATGGTTATGCTCTGATATGTTTGAGTTCCTGTTTCCTTGGTAAACACTGATACTCAACTGTTTGCTATTAAAAGTGACCTTATGTTGCATTCTCTGGTGTTGCTTATTGACTGAAACACTTCATTACACTGTCTGTTCTCGTGCAATGGTTCTCGAGGTCATGTCTGACAATTTGCTTCTTGAAATACTGAGAAAAAACACAAGCCATAGTCATAGCAGTTTTTAAGTGAACGTCCACTCTATCATACCTGATGATGTGCTAGAGCTACTGATGTAAAAAACTACCAACTATCTATGACTACGTCCTTCCTCGTATATTCATTGACTCACTATCATTTAACCTGTCCATGATTCAACTCCATGCAGCGGCTTGCCCATGAGCTTCCCCTGAGAAGATAAGTACAGAGACATATCTCAAGACATTTTTGTATCAACAATTCAAAAAATATTTGCAAGTTCAACAAGTCCACTCCTGACATGCATCTGGTCTATGATATATTCACCTTTGTAGATAGTAATGCCTTTTATGTTGCTGACAAATGGAAATACTCCTGCATATTTCTCAACTCTATCCTTTGAAACTACTCACAAACTAGAGCTGTAGTTCTTCCTCTCCCCATGTACGGCACTCTTAAGCCTCCGATACATCTCCAGCATTTTTTTCCCCTCCAATAATCTTCCGTCCCTTTCAGCACAGCCTCAATCAGGAGGGCAGAGGAAAGGACATGGTGTGAGGAGGAAACCTTTTGTTCCAACTTTTTTTCAGACACCAACCGCGCTTCCCTGGCGGTATTCCTGCTTCCTGCTATGATGTCTACATGATCAAACTATGGTGACTGCTTTTGGTTGCTATTGAATCAATGTCCTACCAAGCAGCCACAGCAGGATAGAACTTCTAATTTCAAAAACATTTCAAATAATCATTTTAATTTCACAAAGAACATCTAACCTCGGCTTTCCCATAAACTGTTTGAAAAACGTAAAAAATCCTTCCAGTTCACATAGTGGCTTTTTTGTTTACTTCCATCACTGGTCCCAAGGGACCAGCTCTTTCTTCTCATTTTCAATCCACCCATGTAGGCTCCTGCTACATTGTACCTGCTTTTTTCCTGGACAGAATTACTTCATGCACAGCATCCTGTTAGCTGCTATTAGGCAAAGGTGACCTCATATAATTAGCCTACAAGAAGAATATTTCCATGTCCCTCAATGGTACAGCCAGACCCTCTTTCCTTCTGGAACTTTGCATCCCTGAGACCAAGAAAATAAGTTACAAAAAAACTCCTTATGTGACTTATATAACCACTGCATCCCCTGACCTCCGAGTCTGAACTTCCCACAAGGGGACCAGTGACCTTTTCCACCTGTACATATTTACCCCGGCCACAGAAAAGGTAAAACTCGTTCAAAGTCAGAAGCCTGACGCAGGCCTTTTGCTGAGTTTCCCGTAAGTACAAACAGAACTCCTGATTGCAAGTAGGACCTTGATCTTTACTATTTTTCCAATGACAGGAAGTCCCAGCATAGTACTAAAAGCCACATAAACCTCACGCTACGCTGCATGCCGCAGCCCAATGGTATCAGCTTGCTCTATCAGCTGCAGATTCCATGAGCATGCAGGGTACAAAGTAAAATTGAGTTCATGGCGAGAAATGCAATTATGTCAAAGAATTGAACCTGAAAAGCCTCTCCCCTCTCCCTTCTACCTGAGCCAAGTTGCAAGGCACTGAAGGGCTAATTTAAAAAAAAAAAAAAGCAGCAGTATTTCAGGCCCTGTCAGATTCTGCAACATGAGAGCGCGCACTCACATGATAGCTCTTTCTCTCGGGATCTAGGGTATCAGCATCTTGATCCAGGCACAGTCTACTGCCTGGTCCAACAAATTTTGAATTTATTTCAGCAACCACACCGTTTAAAAACTGGAGGTAGCCTGATGGTTGTAAGTCTCCTAGAAGAAAGACTGAAGTGGATTCTCCCCACAGGAATTGTACTTCAAGCTCCCCATTTTTAGCCAAAATACACTGACCACTGACCTATTAGAAAAAGAAAAAAAGAAAGGGGGGGGGGGCGGGGAGGAAGGACAGAGAAGTATACCACCCCCAGGTTTTGTTTGCTTTAAAGCAGATCATAACGCAATCATAATACGGATGCAAAATCCTAGGCTTTGCAGCATGCCCAAGATGGTACTCCTGCAGCATCTTGATGTGGTGGGCACCCATCCTCTGAATTTTAATAGAGCTCAGGCACCAACTATTCAAAAAGTTCAGCATAATCAAAAATAAATTTGCTCTGGTCATAGTGCAGTGTTGCAACTCATAATAATCTCCCTGCATGTATTACAGTGTGAGCTTTGGACTTAAGAGAGTAAAAAGCAAGATACAAGCAAGGTTGTCAGCACGATGATTGTGAATTACTAAAATTCCATCAAAGTTTATCGATGGAATTTTATTAGATTAATATGAATTAGACTTCAATCTAATCCAAAGTGCGTAAGCAAACTTTAAATATCTCATCTGAACTTCTTCCACCAAAAAAACCTTACCTCAGTCCATTTCAGCAAACTAAAACAAGCAAACATAGCCGAGCTTACTCTCAGTCAAATTCCCTTTTATTTCACAGATGTTAATTGCTAATAAAGCTAAACAAATCTGAAGTTCAGAGTGAGTCACTGAAACTTGTTCCAAAGGCTTGGAGGAACGGACTTTACGCAATTTTTTGTCACATCAACCCTTATTATTTCCTCTGCTTTGAAATATAAGATGTAACAGTGAAAATACATTTTCACATTTTAACTTTTTTGACGTCGTTTTAGCTTTTTTAAGCTACACATCCTCTGCATGAAAACCAATAAATATGTTAGTGTGAAAACAGACTAGAGAATCTTATTAATCTACAAATACCATTAACAAGAAACTTTTTTCGTACAGAGATGATTCTTGCCAGAGACCCACTTGGAAAATTTTCTCAGATTACCACGTTTTGCGCAGACTACACAACATTCTTGGATTCTGTCCAGATTTAAAGAGAACTAATTCACTCCTTTTATGAAAAAAAGCTAGTTTTAAACATACATAGCTGAAAATGGAAAGCAGCCTTAAGAGTTAAATGTTTTTATGCAGCTGAATTGAGACATACCAGAAGTAAATTAAGTTCAGTGCTGAACAGCATTTTAAAGCATACCAGCAATTACACTGGAAGCTGGATGTAGTCACTATGAAGCTTTCAATCCAACTGTATCTTTGGAAAAGTCAGATTTAGTATCACATTAGCTCACAATTTTTTAATATATTTGGTAGCTCTGCTGGAACACAGACCCTGCTTATTGCTTTGAACATACAACATTATCATTGAAACCTAGATGCTTGTGTAGAATTCTTAAGAGCCAAAATTAAAAAGATCAGGACAGTAGGAACAAAGGCACATGGTTAATTTATAAAAGTATTTACAGGGTACTTGAACATTTATTTCTATCTACTAGAAACTCATTCATCTTGAATACAAAAAGAAAAGACTACTGAAACATGTTAAAGGAGATCATCCTAAAAAGATGTTCTCAAGAGATAGGAGCAGAGAATCTTACACACCATTAAATTACTTCCGGAATGAAACTTCTCATTCTTAATATTTAGAAATTCCATATTCAAGTTCATAAATTTATTATTCCTCTATGCACTGTGATACTTTAGTGCAATCCTCTTCAAAGGTTGAAGTTGGCACAGTTAAGGCAGCCTGCTAACAGTATTTCAAAATTCAGCACACAGCGTTTAATCATTGAGGTGCCTGGTGGTTCTCTATTTGGAGAGCTGTCTTTTAAAACCTTCACCCACACCGTCATCCTTCTAGCTGATGCAGTCTCAAACACAGCATATTTAAACACCACAGTTCTCGCAGTGTTTTGGGGTTTTTTGGAGGTGGGAAGGCAAAAGGAGTCTAATATCAAGTCATTAGCTCCATAAGCAACTCTGCAGGATGCTTAACATCCATGAGTTGATGTGTAGCTTTACCGTGTGTTGTGCTAACCTTTATGGACTGCCAACAAGATGCTTCTAAAACAACACCCATTACATTCAAACCTATAAGCACTCTAGAAATCCTGGTACTGTATTCTGCGCTCCACTGATAGTGTTTCAACATAGTCTGTTGCCAAAAGCAAACTGATTTTCCTAGGGTGGTGGTTTTTTTTTTTCATGGAAGTTCATTGATGCACAAGTTCAAAATAAAAAAAAAACCCTCTCTGAACAAATCAACTAAACTTTTTAAGAGGACTTCAGCTCATTCTGATTTTTTTCCTACAGACTTGAACTAGTCATTTTGAAACAATAATCCTCAACTACAGCAAAAGATTATACTTCAGCAGTATGGAAATGTTTTCCATTAAACTTTAATAAGGCTATGCCTTATTAAAAGGTGACTAGTGCTGCCTATCTACAGCTGATCGGTTGGGGTACCAGAACTGACTTGAAGTGTTACAAAATTCCACAGAAGGGAAAAAAAAAAAAAAATTAAAACAATAACTGCATAGTATGTGATCCCTTTTATTCACCAAAGCTGCCCACGTATACCCTATGTGAAAGATAGCAGAACAGCTGCTCAGCCTTCAGATGCAGGTGTGTTTAGCGCTTGCTATAACATCTTTCCATCTTGCTTGTTGTCACAGCTCTTCAAAAGACAGTTACAGAAATTAGAAGGAAAAAATAAGAGAAAATAGAATAGCATTTTCAGACAGATCAATATTCCTCAAATTTTTCATTTGAAATATTAAAGTAAATTTATTTATGATGAAAGTCATCAGAAGACCATTCTCCTGGATTTAAAATATTTTGGTTTTTTTCTTTGGAAAAAAGAAAAAAGGAAAGAAAAAAAAAACCTGATACACATTACTAAAACCACAGATGCTGTGGCTTTCCTGCCTGCCCCTCTCTCCTTACGTATGTCCATACTGATGACAGAGCCAGTTCAAAAAAAGTCTAATCACTATCTAAATTAACGGGGTTGTAGTCAGGGTCATCCTCTTCATCCTCCAACTCTAAATCATCCATTTCTTGGAATAAAGATTCATCAACCTCCACGCTGTTTCCTGCTGCAAAGAACAGAAAAGTAATTTATTTTCATGCAAGCAGGAAAACAGTACCTGAACAACAAAACACACAACTCTTTCATATTCGTTCTTCAATGTAGGTAGCTGTTAACTTACTTGGCTTTTAATATATCAAATAGATATGGAAAAGGAAACACCACATTTTATCCTTTTACAGCTAAAGTAAAGCTTTTTTCCCCTCATACCAAAACCCAGTCAAGAGAAATGTCACACAGGACCTCAGAATCCATTGGGAGAATGAAGTTAACATTTACAGTTCCCAGAAGCAGAGATTCTTTCTCCCAGGTATTGTCAAAACAGGAGCTCAGGACCCCACGGCTGAAATAGTTGTAACTATCATAGCCACAGAAACACATAAGGTTTACTAACAAAACAAAACAAAACAAAAAAAAAAATCACTTTACACACCATTTTTATATCTACATTTGTTTTCAGATTTAAATTTTAAAAGCAAGATGAATGTTTTTATGCTTTCACATTTTCTTCTGAAAGAGACGATGCTGACCTAAGGATAAAACTTGAGGACTACTGCTATTTTATTTGTGTGTATCAACAGCGACATCTTCCGGGCACTGAATAAGGTTCTGTTCTTTCACCGGACTTGAAAGAGCCTTTATAACCATTTCCATCTAAAAGATAACGCCATTATCCTGTTTAAGCTGTGAAAATTAGTATTACTTATTACACGGTACTGTAATACTAAATTGCAGTTAGCAACGTGGTGCATTTATGACTGAATACAATGAGGACAGGAATTTTTAATCACCAACAGCAACAGGATTAATACATTAATCCAAGTCATTTGGGCACAGAGCCAAAACATAGAGGTCTGTTCCTCCCTTGAGATAGCCAAATGTTCCATCAACAACCCATCTTCACTTTAGGCATTTTGGAGGAAGGCAAGGTTAAATTACGCTCTCTAACTAGAAGAAACTCAACTACCCCATTACTGCCATTTCAAGTTTATACTCACTGATGTTCATAAAGAACTTTTTTTTTTTAAATTGCTACTTGCAGAGAAAATTCTTGACTCTTTTCTGCATGTGTATTTTGCAATACCAGTAGATAATGCAGCTACATTAAAGAATTGTCTTAACTCAAAAAACAGTCTTTTCAACTGGGACACTAAAAGGCAGTACAGAAAATTAAATAGATAGGTGACTGTGAGTAGATTTGTTTGATTTATCTCCAACAGATTTTTCCAAGTTTAACATCTTTTGGCACAGACTTACAAAATTTTCAGCTGGCACCAAGTCAGATATTTTTGGTAAGATAATAGACAAATCTGCACAGAACAACTGGGTTGCACAGAGGCAAATAGCATTTATTTTGACCTGCAAGATGTTTACTATTGGTGTCAAGATTCAGAGAGAAGGAGACTCAGCTTCAAGATCTGTGCTGGAAATCGGAGGTGAGAAGACTGGCTATTAGAAAAAAGGACAAAGCAGGATTTGGTTGCGTTTTTGTTTTGTTTTGGTTTTGTTCTGCTTTGCTTGTTTTTGGTTTTGTTTCCAGTCCAAACACTTGAATAGAAGCAACAGAAATAAGATCAACTCAAACTCAAAACTGCAAATAAATACGCTTTAGCATCTTGAATACGTTTTGTTTGTTCGTTTTTGAAAGAAGTTAAAATCACTTCTGTTTAATGTGCAGAACAGCACTTCTTAGAAAGTTCTTCGTATATAAAAGTGATACTAAGGTAAGATGTCAAGTCAGAAATATAATAGAGATTTTGCTTAGAAATTTTGACCTACTTTAAGCCACTGCCTTTCAGTTGTGGAAACAAACAGAAATTTACCTTCCTCCAAGAACTGGATGTCAGAGGTGTCAAGGTTGTGATCCATTTCAAACAGCTGTTTACCTAGAAATAATAGTTTAAAAAAAGAAAAATATACATAAGCAAGTAGAATTCTGAAATAACTATCAACCTAAGGCAACAATAGTTAGCACATGTATTTTAGGCTTTTCAAGTTAACCAATTCGAGCAGTCCTTTTTTTTTTTTTTTTTTTTTTTTTAAAGCTGCTCATTTCTGTAAGTTCCCCGTCCTGATTTTTTGACTATTCATCCAGGATTCTTCCACACCAACAGGCTTCCTCCTCTTACATGTGAAACGGGTCACTGTTTCTTATAGTCACTTTAATGTTACTTAGGCTTTAACAATGGGGGGTGTACAGCCCCACAGCCTTTGCTCAGTCCTTATTGCTTTAGTCCTCATCTTGCATTACACAAGAAATCCTCTGTGGGAACGGGAAGGAAATTAGCTGCCTCCTCCATCTTTTTCCATATATCCTCCTCTTTCGAAAAGCAACTTGGATCTACACACAAATCACCAGCTCCTACACACACACATCTGTGAAGGAAACATCACACAAGGCAAAGTAAAGCCTTTCTAATTGGGATGTAGGGGAAGAAAAGTTCAGGACTCTTTCCACATAAGTTACCCATCTTCCATCTACATTTGCATTGCTTATGCAAGCTTCTGCCAACAAGACTGGTTGGTGTTCATGGTAAAACATTTAAGACACCTTTTACTTCTACTGGGGTTACACTCATTACATCTGAGAATAAGCCTACTTTTAGTTTTGTAAAGGCGAGCTTCTATAGACTTGACTTTTATAGAGGAAAACAGACACAGCATGCTAACAATAATTTTAAGAACAGGAAAACTAGAAGAAGCCTGATTTCTACTATCTCATCTTTGCAGATTCCCAAATGCATTCCCTTCAGAGGGGAATCAAGCGTGATCCCTGCCCTGTACAGCTTTTCATGAAACTTACTAACATTAAAATTTCCATCTCTCTCTCAAATTTCATCAAAACTAGCCAAAAGTTTCAAAAGCCTTTAGAAGGGAGGAGAAAAGATAATAGTGATACAGCACGATCATATTGGTCATGTTTTCTCAGGTAATCAGGTTAAAAGGTAGATCCAACATCACAGGAGAACTAGTCCAAAGCTAAGCCGTGGAGAGTGTGGAGGAGGATGCCTGAGATTTAATTCTTACCTACAGGTTCTCATAAGAAAAGTAATTTCCTCCACATTTTGCCCACTGGATACAGAGTTTGCTTTCTGCCGGACAAACTGTGATCTGCAAAACACAGAGCCCACTGCTATGACAAGCTCTTCCCCAAAATATCAGAGCCATTCTCACTAGTCATCGTAAGCTTGTCATATGCAGCAGCCAGCCTCTGTGCAGCTTCAGTCGGCAATAGCATCCCAAGCTCCTACATGCGCTTAAATAATCTGAAGTCACTGTACAATCCAGTACAATAAAGGCCAACTCAATAAACTGTCTGATGTAGATTCTTTCTGTTGCTTAACAAACCCCAACTATTTCTACCGGAAGAACGCTTGTCAATAGCGGCTCCAAGTGGTATACTGTCTGGCACAAAATCGACAAAGCTTAAACACACAGTTTGGGAACCTTAATGACTTCAGCAAAAATCCTGTATCTATTAGCTTTGTATTTAGCCCAAAATCAGCACTCAGAAAGACTTCATGCGACATGGAGGACAATAATCAAATACTGCATTAAGAGTTTATTTACTACCATTATCTTTCAGTGTAAAAATTACTTGTCGTTATAGTCCCGTAACATTGCAAAAACTTCAGGACCAGTTTTAAATCATACCGCTTAATTTATTTTTGCCCGCTTGTTCTTCTTCTTTCATTTTTTTCCTTTTTATTTCTAGGAGTTCTGCATCAAACTTCGCTTTCCAATTTAGGAAATTCTCAATGGTAACAGGAGTGCCATGAAAACGTTGCTGAAAGAACAGAAAGCAAGGCTGCAAACACAACTTTCAAAGCTACGAGTGAAGAGGAGCATTCCCTTAATTATTTAAATTACAACATTCCGGAAGTACTGCTTCCTGTGAAGTATTCCGAGAAATTAATCCTAGCCCTGAGAATATACAAAGAACACATTCTTACTGTTTTTTGTCATGGGACTCTCCCTTCAGAGAGCTGTACCAAGGTGGAAATTCTTACAGAAAAACCCCGCGTAGTACTTTTGTACCTACAGGCAATAGGTAGCAACACACCACTAATACAGGTTATCCATAAGTAGGCAGCACTTCTTATCAACTCTTAAGTGCAATCTACACTGAAATATTTTCCATTAAAATACATTAAACCTCCTATCTTGTTGAGGCAGAAAAAAGGATTCTTTTTTCCCCAGTTGTTTTTCTGCTGTTTTCAGAAATACTGAACCGTCCACGTCCCATCACCCTCTAGCTATTTCTGAAGAAGAAACTGAAGACTCAGTAGTTGGACTTATCACAGCACATTCACACATGGACATGTCACACACGGACATATCACACACATGAATGGAAAAGCTATTCCACAATGGCTGATAGAAAGGACACGTGCAGGGTGGACAAATCAGTCTTGAAGACTGGTCCCACTGCTTCCACCCTACCCACTCAGTCTACCAAGGAAGAGAGACTTCTTCAGATCATGCAGCCTGTGTGCAGCATGCCATACTTTAGCCTTTTTGGCTCCCCATGCCCTCTTGCCTCTTCAAGCAAAAAAACTGGCTACAGCAACTTTGATTTCATTTGGGAAAAATCCCTGCCCCTGCCTTAGGAAGTAACGCTAGAAGGGATTGTGAACATGCAGTACGTCTCTGAAAAGACTGCTTTAGAAAATGGCGCGGGGGGGAATCACTTAGGTGCACTAAAGAATCTTTTAGTCCTTAAGTTTTAATTGTATCAACTTTGGGATAGATGTTCCTTTCCCACTGCAACCGAGAATTGCTCCTGCATCAAACCCATGCATTTAAAAAAAGCGGGAAATTTTTATTTGAAAACATTATTTTACATACTTTCTCTTCTTCTTCTGCTTCTCTTTCTTTCTGTTTCTTTTCCTCTTCTCTTCGCGTTTTTATTTGATCCACTGTTTCATTTAATTTCTCCTGTACTGCTGAGACTAGAGTGAAGATCATTACCATTCCTAAATTTTCTTCTGCCTACAACACAAAGAAGGCAACTTCAAACAGGAGAACCTCAAACCTTCAGCAGCCGAATGCATAAGTATGTTTAGAAAGCAGTATGCTATGCAAATGCAGATAACACAGCTGAGGTACTCTGCACCAGTCTCAAAAGCTCGCTGTAAATTTCAAGTCAATTGGCCAATTAATCCAGTTAAAGTTATCACCAAATGGGTGCGCAGCAAAACACCAATGATGAACACCTGTGTTCAGGTTATCAACATATTATAGACATCTGGAAGGCTTTTTCATGAATAAAACAAAACCTATAGTAGGAATACAACTCAAAGATTTGAATATCATAAATCATAAGAGACAACAATCACTCAGAACCTCTCCTCTCCTGAAATGGCTTATTCCTTAACACCATTACATGCCCCTTTGAAGTGGGACAGTTTCCCAGGAAAAACAAAAAACATCAGTTGATGAAAGGAAGGTTATATGAAGTAAACCGAAAAGAAAGAATGCCTACTGAACATATTATAGCAATTTTAAGGCAGGGAGGACTTTCAAGAATTCCTGAAACCAAAGAAGTGTTTCCTTCCCATTCCTTCACAACGCACTCTCACTGACCCCAAAGGTTGAAGAGATCCACCCACTCACTCCCCCAAAATGGTCATGTTATTAAAAAGAATCAAGAACCAATGTAGCATTTTTTAATCTTTCCAAGTAAAATTAAAGTGGCTTATTTCCACAAATACTATATATACAGTTAAACAAATTCACCTTAAGCTAGAACTGCTAAAGAGTGCGCTAGAGCACTTCAATTTCATTATTGTACCTGTGCACACTGAATTAGCCCTGTATTTTACCTCATTAACATAATTTACCTCAATAATGTCATTTACCAAACTCAAATCTCAAAGTCAGTCCCTACAGTATGGAATAGGTTTCAAATCAGTAGCACATACCTCAGAAAACAACTGATTTGAGAGAAAAATTCTGGCTGAAGTGTGAAGTGATATCAAGCTGAATTGAGATATTCCATTTTCCTTACCTGTTGTTCTAGTAGTTTTATTATGTCTGTGACATCATTATCGTCAAGATTCTCCTGTGAGACAATTTCATAAAGTGGAGTTTCATCAGGATATTTTTCTCTATAGGTAAATTTAAGGGTTGTTTGGACAGCTACAAGATAAAACACATATATTCTTATGGTGATAACTCTACGTAACTTTAATTGTGTATTTTTCTATTGCATCAGCAGCCTAAAGATTTCAAAATACAACATATTCTTGTCTTAAAGGAACAGTCACCTTACACAGATGTTAAAACTGTATGAACAGATTTAAATATAATGCAAGAGTTCTGAGAAATTAAGATGATAAAGTTTACCCTTACATAAACTTTTACAGGCTATTAATGTCTGAAAGGTCTTTAGAAAGACTGAAAAACCTTCTGTGGCACAGTGGGTACTAGAGCAGTAATCCCTTTTCCCTCATATTCCACTTAAAGTTGGAGAAAATGAGGAATAGTCCTAACAACAGGTCTAGAGAGAATCTCAGCATATTAATGCTTTAAATTCTGTGTGCCTGGCTGGAATATCAACCTCTGTGTTGGGAACCAGGGCTCCACATAAACCATATGACAAGGACACAATGTCCAGTAGAAGTTACTAAACAGAGAACTGCCTAAGGAGAACGCATTCAGGCTGAAGCCACCCAGAGCCAGGATAACATGGAAACAAGCCAAAAGAGAATCACGTTCCTTTTATGCATCCTGCCAGAATACCAGGGAGAAGACCTTCTTCAGTTCCAGACTCACAGTTCTGGCAGCCCAGAACACAGGCTTTTCAACACAGACACCTGTTCTGAGCAGGACTTGCTCCTTTAAAACTGAAGGAGACAGCACCAGTTTCTTCCTTCTGATACAGTAACGAGATCAGCAGCTCTCAAACTTACTCGGAGCAAGGCTTCCTTACAACAAGCCCACGCAACCACTGATACCCAACAAATACACAAGGACTTGGGACCCACAGCTCTTTGCTCTGGAACTGTTCCTTAAGGGCTGCATATTCACAACACACAGACTCCCATGTGGCTGGCATACATGCAGTTGCTAGAAAAAATCACCTCACAACATGGCTGTAAGCTACTACAGGGATGATGACAACCCATACTTTTCGAAGCTATGCTACAAAGCATTTGAGATTCAGCATGTCAGAAAGTAGCCCTAGTGAGAGAGCGCAACATTTCTGTAAACTAAACACAGATCACCAGAATCCTTGAACTACATTTTCTGAGGAATGCTTGCTGGATCAGGCCCCTAAGAGGACTTAAGTGGAGGTACACCTAGTAGCTGGTGATCGAATTAGGCTTACACAGAAACTCCTCCCATATATGTTTAAGACAAGATCAACTTACTTTCATCATTTTCTCCCGCCTCAGATGTCACAGTGATTGTGAAAGTCGTTGGCTTTTCTGACAATACTGTTCAAAGGAAAAAAAAAAAGACAGAGAGAGATTCCTTAAATCAGACAACTACTTCTTCACATCATTAAAACTGAATTTCTCAAGGACTAATGAAGTAAGGAAGCTCCTGATACAGTGTTAAGGGCTTTTTTACCCTATAAATAAATAATTTTCAATTAACAGCTATTTTCCACATGATGTGATGCTTAGAGTGCTCTTTGAATGAGAACATGTAACATGAACAATACCAAAAAGTTCCTCTTTTGGAAAGTTTTCTCTTTTTGGAAGTTTCACTTTTCCAAAAAGCAAAGCTATCTACCATCAAATGACTTATGTTAGCACACTGAATGTGTGCAGACAGCTCCCAAAACTCTTTATTGCACTAGATATATGTGATGAGCATCCAGTGCACTCTTGACCCTGGACTATTTTTACAGCATGTCTGCACCTATTTCTATATTTAGGACAGCTTAATGTAATAAATGGAATACCTAGTGCTTTCCTTCAAGAATGTACTACCCAAGTAATGTCCTAGAATGAAATTGCGTGAATGAGGCAGCTAGAAGACAGACAACAAGCGGCTCTATAGAGATGCACAAAATGCAAGCCCTGTGATCTAAAGTTTCACAAACTAGAAACCTCATCACACAATTGTGGATTGCAGACCACATCCTCAAATAAGGACTGCTCTGTATCACTGTTATGACCTATGCCCAATATAGTATACATGCTCTCACAGTATTAATTGAATTTTGCCTAATTGCTACTGTACTACTACTACCACCATGTTTTTTCCTCCCTCTTCTTTTGGGCATAAGAGCATTTCACGAACAAACAATAACTCAGAGTAAGCACCAGAGTAGAGGCTATATGAAAGTATATTACTTCCATATCAGTATCAGTGATTCAGCATCCCCAGCTACCAGAGATCAATTCATATACCTTTAACATAAAACTGAAGAACTTAAAAGACTTTCAGGTTAAAGCAATGGGCAAATGTACTGGGCAAGCGTCTGTGTAATGAAGTTACTGCCAAGTAAGACACTGTGGGACTTCGGGCAGAGTAAATACTGTGCAGGAAGGAAACAGAAAATGCACAGGTTTTTTCACCGTTAAAATTCTTTGGACGCTGAGCACCATAAATCAGATTGGATTAGCTAGCATGGTGGATATTCTTAATTGTTTCATGGTAACTAGGAAGTCCTGAAAATCCGACGAAGCAACGTATCCACCATATGAAAGTTTTAGCAGTATAACATACTGCACCTGGCAATTAAAGCTTGCCTTTGTTCCACCATAGATCTGCAACGGAACAAGGCAGATCCTGGCAATTCACTTACAGAGGAATCAGCACCTTTAAGCACCCCAAAACATCCCGCACTTTCACGGCTGTGCGAAGCTGTTACCAGAAAGGA